GACTAATCGCAAAAATAATCGGTGACTAGTCGACTATCAAAATAATCGTTTGGGGCAGCCCTAATGTCGGAACAATCAAAATGTTGCATTCGGTACCGTTGAAGTCGCCTCTCAGTGAGTCAGTGCTGTCCTTTGACCACACAGTGACTGTTTTGGTCTTGTACGTTGGTCTTAAGTAGAAAGGATGGTGAGCAGAACTTCCCAAAGGATGTCTTCATGTAGCAGGAGGAATCTTTGATATTACCGTAGTACTTCTGTAGTATTTTACTATCCTGGAGTAAACATTTCAAATATAAAGTCAGCAGGAATAAATACAGGTGCTCCCAGGTTATGCTGCAGGTGATCAAAGTCATTTGGTTTGTAGCGTTTGTTGCATTTGCAGATGGAGGGACGCACATATAATGTAACCAATCACCTGTCAGTGGGACAGGTGGCATTACTGTTCCCCGTCAGTCCAGGATTTATTTTTATCTATCTATCTATCTATCTATCTATCTATCTATCTATCTATCTATCTATCTATCTATATATATATGTTTGTGAGAGAGATGGTTTCATCTGATGAAACCTGAAACATTCACGCCGTCACCTTGATGATTTACGATTTACATGTGTGTGTATAAAATAGCTTACTGGCTGCACGAGAACTAAAACCACATGCATTAAAATAAACAAAATCCCTCAAGTATTGGATACGTATCCATTGATTTTAATGCAATTATTTTCCAATTTGAATATAATTACAGTATTTCATTTAATGTAATACATTTAAGACCCAATTGACCTTTTTTAGTGGTCATCAAATAAAAAGATAAAGGCCAGAACTGTGTTTTTGGCCTTTATCTTTTTAAGTGGCTCTCAGTCTGGATATTTATGACATAACTATCCAGGGGGGCAGGGATAGCTCAGGAGGTAGAGTGCTTGCCCCATGATCAGAAGGTCGGGGTTACTGAACGGCTACCCTGAGGTACCCCCGAGCAAGGTACGTCCCTACACGCTGCTCCCCCGGCGCTGCTTTGGTGGCTGCCCACTGCTTCACTGAGTGAATTCGGTTAAATGCAGAGGAGTAATTTCCCTACGGGGACTAACAAAAACACATTATTTAACTTTAGCTTTAACGTCCAGAGACAGGCCGGTGTTTACTGGTGATTCACGCTCTGTGCTCAAAGGTGTTCTCCTCCTGTCTGAGAATAAATGTGGGACCATTTCAGGCGCAGTGCCCTGTGAAGCATGCTGACAGAGCATGTCTGTGAGCTGCTTTGTGGACGCCGTACATTTGATAAGTTGAATTTACGTGTTTGTGTTTTGTATCGAAGGATTGTTGAATCAACAAGTCCTCTTACAAAGTGAGGGATAACAAGCCAGGCCGATAAAAAGCACAGTAGGAGAAGAGTTGTCTCAACCTGAATTTACGTGTTAATTCATCGAAATCAATCAGCTAAATCCCGACCCTGTCTGCTCTGCTCTAACTGTATTCACTTGCCCTGGTGTATTTGACCTCGTCTTTGTCACCTTCTCCGTTATCAAGCTGATTCTTTCCCCAGTGTTTGTCTTCCAGTTTCCTCGTGTTTCTGTAGTTCCCCGAGTAATGGTTAACTATCAGCTATAGCAGAAATACAGTCGTGTACCCACACAGGACCCGAGACATGCATCCGGATCCTCAGTTGATTCACGTCGTATGTGATGTTGGCTAAAATCAGCAGCTCCTGCATTCCCCCACCACTTAATCTCCAGTCACAAATTGAAGTCTGGGAAAGTGGTTGAATGTGGGGCCACATGTGCTGTGCTTTCCATTGTATGCACTGCGCAAAGGAGTGTAGGTAAAGCATCATTCCTGTTTCGTTCCCCTTCCCTCGGGTATTGAAACTGGGTGTGAGGCAGCAATACTCGGGCATGAGTGCGGCATCATCCTCTGCCAGTCGTGTCTGTAGGGATCCTCTGTGATCGCAGGTGACAACAGTAACTCCAGTTGTTCCTTCAGTTTGTGAGTTCAGTCACAGGTTGCCAGCAGCAGTTCTTTGATACACAGTATGTTGTAAATGTGTTTTGGGGCCTCAGAGCAAAAACATTGTGGAATTTGATTAGATTGACTAAAAAGCAGGACTGAATCATTTCCCATGTCCCAGAGAACATTAAAACACAAGCAGCAAAACTATTTAAGAGCACACAAAGAAAAGCATAAGCCTAATTATGTGGGGGGGGGGCTCTTATAAAGGAAAAAAAAGGCCCACACAGCAAACTGCCACGGGGTAAGCAAAGAAAATCCAGCCACTGATTGCATGTCAGTCCCTGTCATGCAAAATTCAAGGCAATCAGTGGCGCCTGTCTAATTTTGCGTGTGCATGAGTGCATGTGGGCGTGTGTGAAAGAAAAACAACAGCAGAGACGGAGGATTGCAATGATCAGTTTTTATGTGATGCGGTAACAGCGGTCACCGTTTAGAGCCGGGGAACGCTCTTTGTTTTAAGCAGAAGTAACGACGACGACCTTTGACTTCCATCTTCAGCCTCTCGAAACTCCGACTCTGACCGAGACGTTTGATTCGCAGAGGCTGCGTTACATAATTCAAATGCAGACTTTGAATATTTCAGAGGATATCCATTATTTACTAAAAAAGAAGTTGGCTTTCACCTCTTCCTCTCGTCTCGTTAATGAGGAGAACATCTTCTCGATGGAGCATTTCCCCACGGTGTCGCGGTCCTCTCTCAACATCACTGTACATGAAAACAACACCAGCTGTTGTCAGAGCTCCTCTCGTTCCTTTTTTCAACTGCAAGCATCTAAACTCACAAAACGCTGAGGTCATCGCTACAAAGCAGCAGCATCCGCGCAGACTTAAGAGAAATCCACTTTCACCTTTGCGTCTGTAGCTTCACGCATGAGTTCAAACTCACAGTGGAGGAGAGGCTGGGCTCCCGAAGGACCAGATCCGATCCAGGAAAGACCGAAGAGACTGCAAAATACCAGATTACAGATAATCAGCTGCTTTGTCTCGCTCAACCTGTCCACCTGTTATTTTAAGCTTCACACCCAGGCTGAATCCGGCGCTGTAGTCACGCGTGATTAACGCCACTGCTGCTGGTCACCTCCGCTAATCTCAGTCACTAACCTTAAAACCGTTTCTGGTGTTGGCGTCTTTTGGAGCATTTTGATGACCCTCTGAGGTCATCATATGTGCTAACCCTGACTCTAATCCTACGCCATGCTTGGGGTGAGCAGCCAGTATTAGCAAATGGTGCTTTGCAAAATCAAACTAAAGCTATTCTTTGGTATTTACAGGACGATGCGTCCACATATGGGCAACGTAAGCATGGTTACTTTGTTTCTGGTTTTCTTGGTGTAGCACTTACTATGTGGATCAAGCTGCCTATAAAATCCACAAATTGTATTGTTTGGATTCAAACTAATTCCCCTGTAATCAAATGAAATTTCATTGTTTTATTTGAAATTACAATACAAATATATTTCCATACAAATACTTAAAGTTAGGCATACTAGAATGAGGGAGTAACAAGTCAGGTTATTATAGAAAACAAAGAAATAATTATACTGTAAGTACACTTAAGCACTGCATAATTAATTTTATTGCAGAGTAATTTTGCAGAAAAACAAATAATATTTTGCCCTTTTACATCGTAAGTACAGTGCGATCTCAGGGCTACAGGCCGTATCACGGAGTTGCTTAACCTTGTCCGACTTCTGGGCATTTTACAAGAAAGAGACACATTATAGTGGAATACAGAAGAATTTCATCCTTAGTCATGAGCTTCGCTATAAAGTGTTACAGGATTGTACCGGAGACTCAGCAAGGCTTGTTGCTAGATCTCTCAAGGGGGCCAGAGGCCTGTACCAGAACTGGACTCAGGATTGTTGCGTGGAGGCAGGACAGTTTAACTGAAGAAGCTTTTGTTTACAACGACATGTCACTGACAGGTGAAACAAAACCTAGAAGCTTGGCGTGGATTGATACACAATATAATACTAGGTGGAAAATTCCAGCGTGGCGGCCCGAGACATAAACGGTGACCAGTGCTCGCAGAGCGCACTGGAGGGAGAGAGAAAACAAGATGGCAGCCTCGTCGCGAGCTCCCCCAAGTAACTTCAACACTATGCACTCCATACTGTACATTAATGCCACTGTTTTGCACATGTCTCAACTCTGTATATTTTTATATATTTTATTTATTGTTGACTCCATTTAATTTGTAAAATATGTGTATACACACACACACATGTAGAAAAACATTTAGTATACACATCCAGAATTATTTTTTTTATTATATATTGTACATATATTTATTAGTTTCAGATGTAGCCATTCTTGTATTTTGCTTGTTTACATTATTGTATTTTGCACAACTCTGTTGCTTGTGAAGCTCGCACACAAGAATTTCACTCACATGTGCTGTACCAGTGTACCTGCACATGTGATGTGACAATAAAAGTGATTTGATTTGATTTGAGAAAAGGTGTTAGTGGGTGCGTGGATTGGGCCAGAGGTTATAGTGGATACTGGGATGGAGTGTTAAGAAGGTCTGACCTGAGTTTTCCAGGATCTGCGTGGGTGGTGATGGCAGGAGGCCAAGCAGGTTAGTGTGGCTGAAATCCTTTGAGTGTTTGTGACCAGAATCCAAAAGGTGAATCTTGGCGGTGATGTCGTGATGTAACCAGCTAGGAGCAAAGAAAGCAAACAAACAAACAAGACCTTGGACCCCGAGCTAGAATGTGAGCCAGTTACCAACTTAGGGTGGCTGACAAACTGGCAGTGAGGCGACGGTGAAGCTGGCCATAAATACCCTCTGTTGATTGCCATAAATTAGCTGCAGGTGAGCTGCCCAGGTGGGGTCTAAGATGGGAGCATAGAGTGCCTGCTTAAAAATGTCGATATTGCAGATGTGACTGGCTGTTTCTGTTGTTTTAGCCTTCGTTTGATAGTGAACACCATGCTGGAAATGGCCTGAGCTCTCTCTCTCTGCAGGGAGTTGAGGGGTTTATTTTTGGAATCTCTTTGCTAAACTGTTAGTCGCATCAGCTTTTATATTAAATATGAGCACGACTTGTGAGGAAAAGAGAAAAGAAAACATGTCAAGTTTTTTCATTGATAGTTGTATAACTGAAAACACTGATGCAAGTTAATTAGCTTCTTTTACTTGTATAACACTTTTAATGCTCCTTTGTGGCTAAATGAGTGCAGTAACGTTTGTTTGTGGTCATCTCACAAGACTTTCACAGATATGTCTAGATGCTATAATTCAGTGTGCGATTGCTCTTGCTGGAGAGGACCAGGAGTGAAGCCCTCACGCTTCCTCTTCTTTCTCACATTTTCAGCCTCCCGTCTGACTCGCTCTCTCGCCTTCTCCATCTGCCTCCCCGTTTAAGTTTCTTACTTCATTTACCTCACCTCCACTCGTCTGCTTTCTCTCTCTGATGTCTGATAATGGCTCGTTTCACTTCCTTCTGTCATCTGTCTCTCTCTCCACCATCCTATATGCTTTCAAAGCATGCTATAGCAGAGATGCAGCATCACCAACAGCATCTGCAGCAGGTAAACTGAGCAGCTGCTGCGTCACTGAGAGAGCAGACGATGGAGAGAGGAGAGTCTGCTGTCTGTGACAGAAGCTGTAGAGAAGAGGACTGTTAGCCTCAGACGGGAAATTTCAGTTTTGGAGCAGCTGGAGCAGCTGTGTTACTCCTGACAAATTTACCAAAACTACCCTTAATTGCTAAACTGAAGTTTACTCTTGCTTTGTTTAAAAGATATTGTTAAAAATGGACGTTTACCATGGGGACCAAAATCCTGCTCTACACAAGTCTGAAGACATTTTTGAGACTCCAAATGTGGTTTTAGTGACAAAGTTACAGGTCAGGTTTGAGGTA